CTTCCACCCAACGAATTTATGTGCCATTTCCGTTCTGTCCATAAACAAGTCGTATTTTGTGCGGAACCAGATTGTAACCAAATTTGTAATTCCACTGAAACATTCATTAATGCTGCTATATTTCTCGCATGACGGTAGTTCTGCTTTCAAATGCTATTTGTGGCACTTTCAGTCACTTGCAAGTTCTAAATCCAAAGAAATAGCTTACTTACTAGATTCGATATTTTGTGGGCTATACTTTTGTCTGCAAGTATGTAATGCCGACTAGTAACTTCCTCGTAATAAGTGCTTGGATGTATTCTTATCAAGATAATATATCTTGATAAAGTGCATTGTACTCATATAAGGGGATTGTGTGTATTGTTTTGGGTTTTATTAGACACCTCCGCTCAGATAACGAAATAGTGTAAATAAATGGATCCACAAATGAAACCACAAGGTTGAAATATTTTCGTGAAATAGTTTTGGCTTCCCTTGATCGCACAAAAACTCTTAAAGATTATGTACATATATATTATAGAAGAGAGTTCTTGACATGTTCACGTGCTTCCAATTGATAACAATTAAAGTGGAATATATGTCTATTATTAGCTATCAATTAATAATACCTACTTGGAAATCCTATTAGATGTACTTTATTTTATTTTAATAGCTGGTGAGGCTGAGTTTTGCTTTTCTTAGCTTTAAATGAATAACTTCCTTTCACCAGATCAGCCAACTACTTTTTTGAGATACATAGATATAAATGTTACATTTGATATCTAAGATATCCTAAGATAATCCTCCGTTTTCTGGAGGAAATTGAAATGAATCACTGTTTAAATGTTTTGTTTTATAGTTTCTTCTTATTTGTTATCGTTGATGGACTTTTAACGCACAAATATAAATGTTTATAAATTCCTTTTTGGGTATTATTTATTTTGCCGTTAATGAACTGTTTTCAGAGCTTTTGGAAAAACCTCTTAGTCATGTGTTTTTTTGATTTAATTTCTCAGTAAATCCGCTATTTCCATTATCCGAAAATTCATTCATTGTTTTTGTTTGTGCTAAGTGTACGATTTTAATAGTTTCAGTCGTAGTTTCTGCAAATTTATGGAAGAGAGTGTGAGCCATTTTATCTTTGATTTATATTTCTCATATTTGATTTAAAACTTTAATCAGTTTGACATTGAGCTAACCTATTAAATATTTTTTGGTTTTCAAGATCACACGATCGTGTAGACAAGAGTGCGAAAAACTAGGTTAAGTTTAAGAGAAATAGTGGGAGTACGAGTGCGATCCTATGCGTAATTTTAGAAAGCTTGTTTCTCTTCGTCATGCACTCAAAGAAAGTTCCAGTTTTTTGTGGTATTCTTCAAGTTTTGAAATAAAATCATTTTAAAGGAGAGTACCAAAAGTTACAACAAATATTAATGTTTTTCCTACGTGACAATTGTCAAGTTTTTTTCATTGATTAAAATGATTCAGACTATACAAACTTAGATAGGCTGTGTTTTGGAACGAAGTTAGCCCTAATTTGTGCCCGTATTTGTGTTGGGTGGAATATATTTTTCCAGTGCATCTTTCTCATCCTCCTGGATGACGATGAAATCCATCGCCAGCTCGTTAGTCACGAGTTGTTGGCCGCCTCGGCATTTTGTTAGCTGTTTTATTTTAGCCGTGTTTATTTTAAAAGAGCAACCCCACCACCCCGTCGTGGTCCCAATCGCGGATTCTATATCGACTGCACTTATTAATAAGTTGAATATTTGCCGTGGTCTTTGTTTTATTTTGGTTGTATCTCTCTAAGTTACGCGTTACGTGTGTGCTGCGTATTATTATTTTATTTGCATCATTTTTTTTGTATGCCTTGTTTACGTTTCAGCTCGGTTCTTAGCCCGTTTGTTTATACAGTTCCCGATCTCGGCAATAGACTGGCCATCGTTATCTTCTCCCGTTCATTGGCCACAAAGATCCGCGGCCCATTACGGGTATAATTACCTCGATCTGGTTCTCGATCCTCCGGCTGCTGGACAATGTTCATGTGCGCCCCATTCGACCAGATCCGTCGGATAGTCTGAAAGTCTGAAAGTCTGTCGAGCAAGAAGCTTTGGCGTCGGTGGCGGTGGCGGTCGCCTCATCATCATCGTCGGTTTTCGTCGGAGAATCGCTTAGTTAGTTGCCCATTTCCACTGGAAGCACAAGTGATTTTCAGGAATATTTCCCATCCGGTTTTCCGTCGATTTTCGCATCGATATGTCCGTGTGGATGACTTACGTACAGCATCGGCGCACGGATGCAAATGCACGCCAGCGCAATGAGCTGTATTACTTAGTGAGTGGACGTGGATTGGCTCTTTTTTGAAAATAAGTTGGGTTTTATAAATACATTTTACAAAATATCATCGGCAGATTTGCAAATCACAAAGTTACAAAGAAATACTTTGAAGGTTCCGATATGCAGTAAACACACTGTTATAAAGACATGAAATTGCATTAAATAATACATAATCAAAATCACAAGTCATTCAGGACATAATCATAAAAGCCGTCGTTGAAGATATAAGTTTAATGGCAATAAAATGAAACAAAATGGGCGAAATGAAAAAGCAGCAATACCAGTTTAATAGACTTAATATAATGGCAATTTTCTTCGCCATTTCAGCAACGCCACTCGCAACCGGACTTGGAGCACCACGCCAATGCCCTGGGAATGGGAGGCGGCGGCGGCGGCGGAGGAGTAAGTGGTGGCAGCCAAATGGTGGCGCGTAGTCCGCGTCCGCTCTCGGAGGCCAACAATTGCGAGGCGACGATTGAGGCGCCCAAGTTTGGCAACGGAATGGACGCCTCCTTGTCGCCGGCGACGGCGGCGGATAACAAGCGGGCCAGCAGCAATTCACAGGACACAGCGTCGGCGGGCAGCGGAAGTGGGAACAGCGGAAGCGGTGGCAGCACCGCCAGCGATCGGAAGCGCATTCTGCCGAAACACCAGCGTCCGCTCACCCGCTACCTGCCCATCTTCTCGCCGGATCTGGATCTGCGCCACCACATCGAGACCGCCGGCCACCAGATCGATCTGTGCCCGCATGTGTTTGTGGACGCACACAGTTGTCGCGGGTAAGCTTGGCGTTTTCCCCTTAAAATGAAACTATCGCATAATTCGAATGGTTTTCCAGTTACCTTCACAAGCTGGGTGCCACGTTTCATGCCTGGTCAAGGCGCTGGTTTGTCCTGGATCGCCAGAGGAGCGCTTTAATTTACTACTCTGACAAATCGGAGCGGAAACCAAGAGGCGGAGCCTACTTTGCAGTGAGTCCATATCATTGCACACCCGAAACTCATGTATTTTAATGGCACATCTTGTTCCTATCCACAGACCATCGACGAGGTCTATCTGGATCACCTGAATGCCTCGAAGAGCGGACGACCGCATTGCACTTTTATTGTAAAAACGAAGAAGCGAAGCTACAATTTACAGGCCGCATCCGATTCGGCGGCGCGCATTTGGATCGATGCCATCATAACCGGAGCCCAGGGTAACCTGGACTACTAATGGATTCCGCGGAGGACTCCAAACACTTCTGCCCAGTGCACAGTCTCAGCATTATATGGGAAATTTATTTAATGCATAAGCTCAAATAACTTAACTAATAACAAAGAAAACATAAGATAAACGTAGCCATGTAAGACCAAAAACACTTGCTCAACAAGGACAAGGGCAAAAGGAACCTAAAACTTTATCTTGTTTTGGCGAACTAATGAAATCCGAGATTTCAGTACTGGACCAAAGTCAAGAACGTATTTTTTTAGACCTATATATTATAATACATGTACATTTTACTTTGTCATATTGTAGTTTAGAACTATTTTTTATATCTAGTTTTAGAAACGAATGTAAATCAAGGACAGCCCCATGCTACTAACACCGCCATTCTCAAACCCAATCATATGGATACCCCTGACCAATAGTGGCAGTGCGTCTATCATACTAAAGATTTTGAAATTCATCTTTATTTAGACGCTCTGTTATTATGGGGAAAGCATCTATATGGTCGCATATATATCATAAACTCTAGAATAAACATATACAAATTGTATAACGATTTAAATGTAACTACCATAATGTCTCTTGACCACTTGAAGTTTCATCGTGAATTTACCCAATAACTTTATAATATCGTATGCCTATCTATTATATTTTATGAAAAATATACCATATATTTTGATAAATGTATAATTGGTACAATCCAATCGAGATATAGGGGGTCAAGCTATTGGCCCATTACTACGCGTAAGACTAAAACTGAACGATTTGCTCAGGCAGCTGGAAAGGATAATCAAAAGCAAATGAAAAACTGAGAAATACGAAACTAAATTTATACAATAACTATTTAAAAATATGTGTAACAATACGAGCTAGTTAATAAAAAGAATTGTTTTTTTTTTTTATAAACATTTTATTTTTATTCGATTTGAAACTGAAAAAAATATTCTAAAATTCTGTTGACTTTACATAGTTTACATAGTCAACAAAGGAATTGTTCGTTCTGTATTTAAAAAAAATATTTGTTGGACATCTTGTTTTTCTTTAGTTCACCGTTATTGGTGTCCATGACTTAGTTATAGTTAAATTGTATATTATTCACAGCGCATTTCAGGTGCTCGTATTTTCTGTGGAAATATTGTCTTACCACAAAATAAATATCTAAATACTTCTGGCATTTAAATATAACATTTGTAACAAAAAGAGAACGGACTGTTTTTTGTTTTCCTTGGACTTGAAATTGAAAAACTAGCTAGAAAGTGGACATTTTCGATATTTCAGCAACTTAAATGTTCTTTACATTTTTTTTTTAAATATGTTTGGCATCCTTTTTTTCTGCACTATAACTTTTTTAAAGTGTTCTTGGTGTCCGCGACTTAAACTATTTCATATATTAATATTTTATATATTATTCACAGTTATTTTCAGGTTTGAGCATATTCTGTAGAGTTATTGTAGTATCACAAAAAATAAAAATATGTTTATACATATTCATGGCCACACATTTAATTTGAATACTTGTACCAAAAACAATTTTGAATATATTTAGTTTCCCGAAAAATACCATAAAGAACGTTGATTAACGATTACCAACGATCCGGTACAAGATTATTGAAACAATGGCTCTTGATTTTCGCGAATAGAACTTTTGGAACTATCCGCGATCAGCATACGATATACACAAAACATATACCGAATGAATCAAGTTATATGGTAACGTGTGTGTGTGGGGGGGGGAACAAATGTTTACAAATATAGTGTTTGCCTTTGAACGCTTCAGGTGTTGTTTGTTATAGTGAATAGATTAGAGATAGTATTGTATGGCTTCAGTGCCAATTTTGTTTACAAACACAAGTAAATCTATCTGTATAAAACTACAAAAGGTATTGAAAACTGGTCCAGTGTGAGATCTACGAATCATATCTACAGATATACTGAATCAAAGGCAAGTTGGTCTCGGAATCTACGCCAAACGTTTAGGGCATGTCCCAGCTATCGGTGCGTCGCCTCTTGGCCGCATGCATCCCCAACTCCTCGTCCTCATAGCTATCCAAGTACTGAAGCAGCCAGCGTGCGAACTCGTTCATGTACGGATCGATGCGCGAGATCACATTGAAAGTGACCACCGCCGGCGGCGCTAGGTGTTCCTTGGCCCCGAAAATGCTCTGCACGAAATGCTCGCAGTGGAAGATGGCCACACAAACGTCCGACTCAAGGACCTCCAGACGCAGCGCCAGTTTGGCAAAGCACTCTGAAAATTGTTTCAGCACTACATACGTCTTGCTGGAAAAGACGGCTGAAAGAGAGCAAGATGGGAAACGTAAGTTGCCATCAATTAGAAGAGCACAGAGGAGTAACATTTTTGGATGGATAGGTAATGAGTAATAAACATATATAATAATAACAAATAAATATTTAGTCATGTTGCCCAATGGACATACTCGGCCGCTCTTTCCTGGAGATCACATAATACTTTTGCAGCATATGCTGGGCGCCATCGGTAAAGGTGGTCTTGCGCTGGTGCAACAGATGGATAAGCATGCGCATGTCGTCCTCGGGAATGTTCAAGCCATCGTTTCCCGCATTTTGTCCCTCAGCGCTATGCTGCTGAATTATTAAGTTCCAGAGACTCTTGCTGACCTGAGCACCCATGTAAATGGGCAGGCCGAAGATTCTGCAAAATAGGTTATGTTAATATACAAGCATGCTGTAAAGTTTTGTCCAACTTACGGGCACAATTTGGCGAGGGACAGTGTCTGATTGCTGGAGTTGTCTGGCTGCCAGTGGGTCCAAACGGCTGCCTCCAAGGGCTGATCGATGTGCAATTGCGGCACTGGGACCGCTCCATTTTCGATGCACTTTTCCAGTTGGCACCCCTGATCCTTGGGCAGACGAGTCCAATCGCCGGCATAGTAAACACCCTGTTGGGCCAATAGTAAAGGACTGGCCACGACCCAACTGAAGCGGGTGGGCAGAGCACTGAAAGTGGGTTGCAATCCGTAGTCGTGGGGTCCCAGGAAACGTGGAGCCAGTTGGCCAACTTTGCTCATCAGACGGTTGGCCATCAGGCTGTCGGTGGCGATGATGCATAGCGAAATCGGAGCCCGCACCTCGTCGGATTCGATTGAAACGATACTGGCCAGCAGTACCATCTTCAGGTACACATAACAATCCATGGGCACACAGTCCTGACTGAGCTGAGCACTCATGGCGTAAACAAAGGAATAGTCGGAGTACTTTGACGAAATTAGGTGATGTAGCTTCTTGATGCTGGACGGCACGCAGTTTAGATCCGGCTTGGGATAGTCCTGGCCGTGCTGTGATGGTGCTCGGAATATCTTGTGAGGCTCGACCGATGGTCCCACGTCCCTAGCGACGGCGGCGTTTGGCTCGCCGTGTACGTCGGCGATGACCTGCGGCTGGGACTGGAACCTGGAGGTCTGCAGGTCTGACTCCCACTGCCAGTCCTGGTCCTGCTTCTCCGGCTGGGTTTCCTCTTGATCCATATCCAACAGGGGCCTGCTGTACAATAGGTCCTCGTCCTGGTGGATGGACCGCGACAATTGTTCCTGCTGCTGAGCCTCCAGCGGGGGGGGCGAACTGAGGGTATTCGACAACTGGCTGGGCCAGGAAATACTGGATGGGAGGGGGCTGTGGCTGAGGTGCTGGTTGGGGGGTGGCCAACTGGTAAAGGAATCCATAGTGGGGGTGCCCACACCAGTGCACGGGAGGCTGGCAAGCCGAAAAACCGACTGGCTGGCCATGTTGTTTTGGATTTCAATGGGGATATATGGCGATGGGTTGCTCCAAATATTCCCCGACAGCGGATTATAGAAGACCATGGGCGGCGGGTTGCCGACGGTATTCACCTTGATCGTTGGCGGCGGTATCATGGCTTGGACTGGTATGGTGACTGGTAGTGGTGGTGGCGATGGCGGTTCAGCTATCTCAGAAGTGTATTCGACTGCTGGTGGTGGGGCACTGTAGTAACAGCAGCCGGGCACGTGGCACACGGGTCGCAGTGATTGGCTTGGTCCTAGCTCGCGTGACGGGAGCAATGATTGCACATGCAAGGAGCGCATATAACGCTGGCGACGACGTCTTCGCTGTAGTTGCCAAATAGAGAGAAAGTTTTCAAAATTAGTTTTAACCTGATGGTGCAATAACTTACGCTTAATCTGGATACTTGGGCACGTTGATTGGATCCTCCGGCCTGACGACTTGGGCGGAACTCCTGAGCATTTGAGTTCAATGCGCTGCGCATAGCCAACTGCTGCATGCGGCTGATCGGTTGGTTTTCTGGTAAGCTCTTAACCTGGTGCGATTGCTTCTGCTGTTGGCACGGCACCACCTCTTGCTCCGGCGATCCCTCCGGCGATCCCTTCAGCGAACCCTTCGGCGATCCCTTAAGTGATCCCTCCGGCGTTCCCTTAGGTGATCCCTCCGGCGAAGACTGCGTGAACTCTCGGCTGACTGCTTGCAGACTGCGCACCATCCGCTGTTTGTGGTTGCGACGTGGGAATCTTTTCGACAGGCTCCCACTTTCGCGGTTTGGCGTCGGCGGCACCACGTCCTCGTCCTCATTGTTGACATTGCTGGGACACGAACATTGAGTGGGCTGCTGGCTGCGCTCATCGTTGAGTTCGCCGATTGGTACCGAGGAAGTGTTTGTCATTGGAGCTTTCTTCTCAGGGCTCCTAGTGTGCGAGTGAATGGGCATGTGAGGTCTCTTTGACTGCGGCTGACTTTGATTGATAGGGCTCATCTGAAGTTGCTCCTGCTGACCAGAATTTCTCGGACTTTTCTGCTGCTGCTCTAATGTTTTCTCAAGACTCTTTGGCTGCTGCTGCTGCTTTATGACTGTGCCAGAAGATTTGAGCTGCTCCTGCTGAGAAGAACTTGCTGGACCCATTTGGTTTTGCCAGGACTGTTGAATGCTAGGAGACTTCCGCTTCTTCTGGCTCCTCCCAGTATTGGCAGAGCCCTTCTGTTGCTGCTGTTGCTGTTTGCCAGGAGATCCTGTCTTCTGGTTCTGTTGGTAAGAACTTCCAGGATTCTTCTCCTGATGTTGTTGATTATGATCGCCAGAAGATTTATTCTGCTCCTGTGAGAGAGCCCTTACGGGGCTTCTTTTCTGCTGTTGTGAAGTATGGACAGAACTCATCTGCTGTTGTGAAGAATTGACAGAACCCATCGGCTGTTGTGAAGAATTGACAGAATCCATCTGCTGTTGTAAGGAATGGTCAGAACTCTTCTGCTGCGGCTTTGGAGAGTTATCAGTTGTGTTCTGCTGATCCTTGGCAGCATTAGCCGCACTTGTCTGCTGTTGGGCTTTAGCTGGAGTATTCTGCTGCTGCTGTTGGATATACTTCTCGTCCGGACTTTTTTGCTTTGGCTGTTGTACTGAATCCCGTCTCAACAGAGTTATCTTGTTCAAAGAGCCACTTGCCTGGTCGTTGACAGTCTTTTGGCTGTCGCTAGGACGTACTAACGATAGCCAATTGGCCACAGATTGCTGCTTGCTGTTGCTCTTCGTCGGGAGCCCGGAATCCGGCAAAAAGTTGGCCAGCACAGGCGGATCTATTATGCGACTACGACGATTGCGAAGGCGCAAACCAGGGGAGCCGTTCTCTAAATTTGGCATCTTCGGCGCTGGTTGCTTGGCTCTCTTTGAACGCTTGCCCAAATCCGGATACTCCTCGATACTCACATTATAGGTACCATCGGGCTGACTGATTTCTCCTGGCGAAGGCCAGGCGTTAACATTTGTGTGGCAAGTGCCGGGCTGCGGTGTGGGACTCATAACAGGAGTCACATCGCTTTCGACCAGGCCATTCGATGGGATGGTGCTGGGTAAAGGGTATACATTAGAATAGTTGCTATTTATGTTAGTATATTTATAATATTCTACCCTATGGAGCTTGTGTTGGCATTTTGAGTAGAAGTGGAGACCTGCGCGTGGGATTCATTTGATAGTGGTGTTATGATTTGAACTGGCTCGTCATCGCCGCGCAAGAAATCATTGAGCTGGACGGGATTGCGACGACGACGGACCTTATTATCTAGACGCTTCCTAGATGGCATGCTTCCAGTTGATATGTGGTGGCCGAGCTTGCAAAGTATCCAGTGATTAAGTAGCTAGCACCCAGTTTTAATTCGCAGTCGTGAGCGTGGGCTAAGAAATGCAATTTAGTGATAGTGACATCCATATTAGTTTCACTTACCTCTTAGGCGGACTAATTTGGGGCGATGAAGGCAATTGGTGATACGAGGTGTCTGAATTGTGAAAATAGGTAGGATGGCCAAGATCCTGTAGGTTTCTGAGATGCGCAACTTTTGATATTCACTCATGGGCCGCGAGCAGCCCGAACAAAAGGGTGCTGAAAGATATCAATGAACTGGATCAGCAATGGGTCGCGCACAGGATTCCGTGAACAAGTAATGCCATTTGACAGGTGGTTAGATATGGTACAGCGACAATTTGGGTAAAGTGCACGGATTTTCCTTAAAGTATTCCTAGCCTAGGGGACCTACCATCTGTTGAGCTGGTCTGTATGGCATTTCGCATACAGCCACTGCCGCAGTACCAGATTGATTGCAGGCTACAATGGAATATCAGGATCAGAATAAATTATACGTATTATCAAAGCTTGGCGCAACCTAGCGGAGGAGCTGTATGCCTTATGAGTTATATGCATCGAAATAAATATAGCTAAAGGTATAACAATACACGAAATAGACAAATAATAAATACCACAAACCAACTTAAATAAAAATAAGGATAATACGAACCATGCTACTTGAAAGTTAACCACAATCATAACTTATAGGAAAGTGTTACGAACAATGCTACTTTGGTAGATTGGTCTCTATAATACAATAGTATTTACACCATCTTTTTAAAACCGAAAACCATTTTAGTGTGAAACAGTTGAGAAAACAATGCGTTCGGTTAACACCTTTGAGCGTAAGTAAGGTAACAACTATAACTATAATTAATTAGGCATATCCAAACAAAAGTGAAAAAAAAACAAATGTTAACATAGGACTTCCAATTGGAACCACGTGGTTAGGAGAAATGATGAAAAAAGACAAATGCAGAAATATCTAGAAAACGTGCACACCAAAGCGAAGTAGGGAAAGAAGCCGATTCTTGGCCAGGACATGTACAAACAGCAGAACTGACACCAGTGTTTCCGGCGGCGTGAACGCGGCTAGGATGCCGTGAACCTGGCACAAGCCCAGCGGGATCAACTGCTCCCGGGGTTCGAACTGCAGACCCGGCGTAAAGGGCAGTCCCACCAAGCGCCAATGGGCGTGCAGCTGGTTGATATCGATGGGCTTCAGGCCGGCGTCTTTGAGATGTGAGCGGACCAGGCCGTAAATCGAGTACCGGACGGCTTCCTGGAACTGCAGCGGTTCCTCGACAATGAGCTGCAGGAGTTGCGGTGAGATCTCGAGTAGTTGGCGGTAATCAAAGTCCAGGCGCAACTGGATGGGCGCCAGCAGGTCCTCTGGCCGCCGGGAGCTCCTATAGTTCGCAACAAAGCGGCCAGAGGAGCCCTGGACCAGCTTGAGCAGCTGCGTCTGCCGGCAAAAGTTCTCCACCAATTTCTGCACGTGGAATCTGCATTGTATATTGAGTATATCGTGTGGCGTTTAGAGTATTGCACGTTTATAATGTTTTTAAGGGTCTGCAAATAGAAAGGCGTCCTGCTTATTGGCCAGGATTGCCATACACTTACTGGCTTTTCAATGGAGTCTCGTTTGTAACTGCTGATTCTGCACCTGCAACCACTGTGAACATCTTACACCAATCCAGAAATGTGGTAACGAGAACTTGACTCACTCCGACCTACTACCAAAGAATTTTAAAACGAAATGATTGAATAAAACAAATTGAAATCGATATCACGTGGCGTTAATTGTAACCTATCGGGCCCTGTTGCTCATCGATAACCAAGTGATTCTATCGGGTATCATGACACTTCGATATTACTGCGATATCACATGAAAAAGATATTACAAGAATATAAATATATGAACATGTTTTTATTTCAAAGGTAAAAATATGTGCCCCTTTTAATTTAAGGATTTTAATTAATCGAATTATAGTAAACACTTACTCGCTTACTTTTATTTTAGAAAAGGTGTTTCCAGATCGACAAATCATTGCAACTATCTGTAAATTTAATACGCTCTAAAAGCTTTAAATAATGAAATTAATAAAAGTTGAGTCAAACAATTAGAAAAAACTCGTATCAATACTATTATATACTGAATATCGGCAAATAACTTTTTAGTTTTTGAAAGCACTTCAAAATGGGGTTTCCGATTATTTTAATTTATTATGTTTCATTTACTTTGATTTGCAGCAAGATTTAATTTTATTAATCTACAGTGGAATAGCTATAAGAAACCAAGAAACTAGGAAATCAATTTCTTGTCATGTATATGAAAACACATTCCTTCTAAACCATCAGCCCAACACAAAATAACTTAAATATCAGTTCTTCTCTGACAACCAAGTTTATTATAAACTAAAAACTATAAAAAAAAAGAATGGTCTACATTGAATTTTTCATCTTGTTGTTTATTTTAGATTTAGTGTATCATTTCTCAGTGTACACACGTTATTTGTATAAAAAAAAACAGACAGAAGTTTGTTTTTGCTGGTGATGATGTCTCCTTAACGGTTGGACTTGGCGACACGCTCCAACTCATCCTTCTTCTTGATGGCGTACGAGTTGGAAGATCCCTGGAAATACATTTCAAAATAAGTTATTAGTACTGGCGACCAATGTTTTTCAAGATGTATAAGTTGCTAATTTATTTATTCGAGTGTTCTTTTACGTTTCTCGTGTGCATTGAACTAAATGATATTACAAGCACAAGGATAATAAAGGATGGTGATTGTTCTGGTCCAAAAGCGAGACTACATAAATAAACCATTATGCAGAATTAGATTGGACCCCCGGTTCCCTAGTCGATTTATTTTCATAATATCAATTCATATGTAAGTGTTCTTTTACGTTTCTCGTGTGCATAGGACAGTTAAGTGGTCACTAGCACAAGGATAATAGAAGATTGGGAGTTTGCTCTGGTCCAAAAGCGAGACTACATAAATATACCATGATGCAGAATTAGATTGGACTAGTTGAAATGACCAGCTGTCACTAGAAGAAAAAAAATAACTATTTCGAAGACCAATTCTCGTGTTAATCCGAGTGCCGAACGTGGTTCTCGATCTGGTCTACAAGCGAGGCATTTTGGTGGTACAATGCCAAGCATTAGAGTAGAGTAGAGTAGAGTAAAGTCCCACTTTAAGCTCTCCAATGCCCTAATTCACCCACCTTAGCAGCGTTGATCAGCTCATCAGCCAGGCACTCGGCGATGGTCTTGATGTTCCTGAAGGCAGCCTCACGAGCTCCGGTGCACAGAAGCCAGATAGCCTAGAGAAGTAGACGGAAAAAATTAAGTAAATAACTATATGAACACAATCAGATAGCAGCATAACTATTTGAGGCTCCTATCGTTGGTGGAGCCCCCTGTTTGTTATGCAATTGATAATGTCTCTTCGTTTCATACGCCAAATGTCGGCTATACTACACATTATGACGCTACGGATATTAGATAGATTTTCGTTCTGGCCAAGTGTTATAAGCAAGCAGTCTCCAAACGAACCACAAGCCATTGCTACCGGCCACCGTGAGCACATGCATCTGGCAAATCCTGTAACGAAAACCCACCTGGTTGACGCGACGCAGGGGCGACACATCGACGGCCTGGCGACGGACGGTACCGGCACGTCCAATACGGGTGGAGTCCTCACGGGGTCCCGAGTTGATGATGGCGCTGACCAGGATCTGCAAAAAAGTGACAAAGGAAAAATTCGAAATGAGTAACCTATCAATTTGAGCCACTAAAAGTAGCAATGTGAAACTTTTGCTGGTGTTGTTGATTTATTGCTTTATTAAGGTTGCATTTTTGAGCCCATGCCCTTAAGAGGAATAGCTAATCATGGGGTTTGTTGTAGTCCAATTGAATACCACAACGCTGTAGAGATCAACGCTGCAGTTTTAGTTTTGGACGGATATTGATCCTCTTGGTGAGTAATGTGTATCTATAGTGTTGTTTTAATTTCCAGGAGAGCAGGAAGTGGTTTATATCTTCAGGCACAAGGATAGTTAAAAAAATTTCACTTAATATTAGTCCATTTTTGGTAATGCTCAGCACGACAGGGTATTTATAAACCGTCTGGCATTGAGGAGGACTTAAAAGCGGTTTCTAAGAATGGGTTATTGTTGATTTATGCTTTATTAAGGTTGCATTTTTAAGCCGATGCCCTTAAGAGGAATAGCTAACCATGGGGTTTCCTGTGGTCCAATTGAATACCACAACGCTGTAGGGATCAACGCTGCAGTTTTAGTTTTGGACGGATACTGAATCTCTGTAATGAATCCTTTCTTTCTAATGTAGTCTTAAATTCCAGGAGAGCGGGAAGTGGTTTAATCTTCAAGCACTAGGATAATTAACACAGTTTCCTCTGAGTCTATTTAATATATGCCTTAGCTGGGATGGAGTTTCCTTCAACTAGCATTGAGGTTGACTCATTACGATAGATCCACTAATATTCTATAGTCGTAAATGTTGAATTAAGTTCCAGGAGAGCGGGAAGTGGTTTTATCTTCAAGCACAAGGATAGTTAATACCTTTTACTATGAGTCCATTTATGGTTATGCTCAGTTTGGCTGAGAAATACTATAAACTGGCATTGAGGAGGACTACTCTTTATTACTAGTGTAGCTTTAAGTTCCAGGAGAACCAGAAGTTGTTTTCTAACTAGCCCTAGGACAATTAAAACTTTGGTTCACTATTAGTCCATTCGCGAGTTATGCTTCGGAAAGTATATAGAACGTAGCCAGCATTGAGGAGGACTCGAAAGTACCGCAATGCTTTATAGTGGTTTTGTCGTGTGGTTTTAAGTTCCAGGAGAACGAGAAGAGGCTTTGTTATCTTCAGGCACTAGGATATTAAAACCTTGGGATTACTCTGCGTGCCCATTCTACCCATGACCGAGTGGCAAAGTTCTCTGGCCACAGTTTAGCATGGGACGCCCATTGGGAGTGGGAACAGAACATTTGGACGGGATGCGTATGTGTATACCTGCAGAGGGTTCTCCCCGGTGAGCAGATGGATGATCTCGAACGAGTGCTTGACGATGCGGCAGGCCATCAGCTTCTTGCCGTTGTTGCGACCCTTCATCATCAGGGAGCAGGTCAAACGCTCCACAATGGGGCACTGGGCCTTGCGGAAACGCTTGGCGGCATAGCGTCCGGCGGAGTGGGGAAGATAGCGGGCGAACTTCTCCTTCACCGAGATGTAATCCTGCAGAGAGATGTCGTTGACGGTCACATCGTCGCAGGACCAGCGGCCGAACAGCTTGATCTCCGGCAGCTCAGTGGTGGACACCACATTCGTCTCCAGGATCGTCTCGGCCACCTCGGCTTCCATAGGTGCCGCTGGCTCCTCGAAGGTCTCCACCACGTTTTCAGCAACTTCGGCCATGCTGCAATGGTTTTTCGAAGGAAAATATGTGAGTCACGTGTTTGGCAAACGCTATTTTACTGTGGGATACTCTTGAGGGCTTTGCGATCAATTACTATTATTTTCATTTATTGTCAGTCAAATAATATTGATGGTTAATGATGTGTTTTATGGTGAATACCATTGATTATAATAAACTAACTTCTGTTATTTTCTATTAAGTATTGCTTGAAAATCGCCCTAAAACTTTTACAGAAACGTGTTTTTCAGTATTTGTTTATGGATACGTCCGTCGTCACAAAAGGGAATTGATTGAAATCGATCAATATAAGTAAAATAATGAAAATTTACAAATTTTTGTATATAAATTACAATATTGGTATATCTTCAACTAGATTTATTTTAGAAAATGTCGTTTACGAATACACAACACAAAACATGTATATAATAAACTGATTTTCAAGGTATACGACTCATTTTTAAGGTCTTTACATTCGTTTTTAGTTCTTAAAAACCTCTAAACTTAAAAAATCTCCAATTTATCTGGTAGACGAAAGTTATATCACTTTTATATATACAAAAAGGGTCAGAATAACTTTTAGGTAAAGATTTAGGTAATTTTTCTGCGTTAACACGTTTTTTAAACTGTAAATGCGCGCTATATGCACACACATACGCATATCCACAGCACACATGCACACGCGCGTTGTTGTTGACTTGCTAGTTTATCAGGGTTTATACTTTCTGGAACGTTATCCTTTTGGTTAATTGGCTCAATATACATGGATATATATTATTCTTAACATATTCTTGCGCTGCAAGCAAAAAAAAAAAAAATATACAAAAAAAAAAGGGGGAAACAAACACGTGTGACGCACACACACAGTTGCACTCGCGCGCACACACACAAACAAAAAGCCGACCGTTTTTAACCTCATTTCGCAGGAAATTGCAATATTCCGCAGTTCGCCACAGTAAATTCACAAAACCCTCAGTATCCACACTTGGTACCAGCATTAGCCGTCTTTTGGCCAATCTCTGGCCGCAATCCACACAATTAAACGTCGAAAATCCCTTACTTTGTCACAGAAGAAATCGAGATACGATGTCAGCGCAAAGGCAAACGCCTGAAAAAGAACATGTTACGGCAGTGTGCGGCAACGCCAGAGAGTCACATTTCCGCCGACACGCGCATGGTTGCATTTCGGCTGCCAGGGCTGCGCAATTAGTGAACTATCGAACGGAGATAGTCGGCGATGATTGAGGCTAGTCCCTCGACTTATTACTTTTATTAATCGTATTTACCTTCTGAGCTTAACATTTATTTGTACTACATTAAAATATATATAATGGTTTAGGGCAAGCTGTGGATTTTATGCCAGCAATGGCTAGTCTTTCTATCGATATGCGGCATTTGGCGGATTTGCCAGTCACAACGGCGACCGATAGTTGCCATTCGCGTGCCAAACAAAAATTCAATTAAGTAATTTAAAGAAATTTGGAAATATTTTTAAAATGCAATTATTTCTGTGACTGCTGAAATAAGCCGCTTAAAATATCGTTTTATAGTTGAAGTATTGTACTTGAGTATTGCTTGGTCATATAAATCTATAATATAAAGTTTGTTTTTTTTATTAAATTTGTTAGTACAAAAATGTATTATATTGGTATAGAATATATAGTATATAGAATATGAAAAAAAAAACATTTTAAATATTCAATTTTTAAAAGGTAAAACAGTTTTTGTCTTATTCAGATCGTAATAACGAAATATGTATTTAATTTTTAATATCGAACCTTTCCATTTCAGAAAATCTGTTTTAACCAGGGCTGATACATTTAGTATCCGATTGTTTACCTCTCTGCCCTAGTATTTTCCGGTATTTTCTCCGGTCACACTGCCAGCAGGCCGAAGTTTCTCGTCCAATTGGGATTATTTCAGAATTTCAGTTACTAGCTCGTCATCAAAACAGCAACAACTGTTGAAAGTAAAATTCTTTCGTGAAACCGAGTCGATAAAAAACAAATAAAACAAACAATATGGTTCGCCGTGGACGTTCAGCCAGCCCTCCGCCCTCCACTCGTCGGTAAGAAAGTCGCCGAAAGTAAAGGAAATTCGGTGGAAAATGGAGAAAGCGCCGGCAGGAAACTCATTTCGTAATCACCGACCCATCAATCGGATGATCTGGCTTTATCTTATGGACAGCATTTCGACTGCCGCCGCTTTTTTTCCGGTCCCCGAAGTGGGTTAAGGTTACGTAACCTTAAAAAATAAGAGGAGTCCCAATAACATGGGATGTTTCAGTGGTGCTGTCCTCTTAGCGGGTGTCCCCGCTAAAACTGGCTACTTTTTCAATTACGGAAGTGCTCAAAACACCAGACTTATAAAAAATTGGCTAAATCTATCATTTTAAATATATATATATATCTCATGCCATTTATTTACTTAAATATCAAAGTCTCCACGTTCTAACTTTGCGTTAAAAAAGTAAATGATACTTTTTATTATAAGATTTTGTTTTATACTATTAGCTTAACATTGAAGTAAAATAATATAATGAAATGCCCTTTAAAGTTCAAGGTAATCAGTTCCATTTGTATAGTTCAATATTCCCATCACAAAGACCCTCCAATTTCGTCACGAAGTAATCAATACACTACGCCAGAGCAAAGTCCACAATAACAACTGAATCTTTCTGTTCGCCCAACAGCACCGCACCTGTGCAGGCCCGTGCCCCGGCCCCAGCTCCGGCACCTGTCCAGGCACGTGCCCCAGCCCCGGCTGCCGCTGCCCCCGTGCCTGCGCCCATGAGTGCTCCTCCCAGTGCCGTCGGCATGCCGGCACCGCAGCAGCCATCGATGTTCCAGCAGATGGCCGCCACCGCTGGAGGCGTGGCCGTGGGCTCAGCCATTGGACACACCGTCGGTCATGGACTGACCTCGCTGTTCAGCGGCTCTGGCGACAAGGAGGCAGCTGCTCCCGCTCCGGCTGCAGCCGCTCCTGCCCCCCAGCAGCCCTACTACGCCCAGCAGCAGCCCAATGAGCCGCAGGGAGCCTGCGCCTGGGAGCTCAAACAGTTCATCCAGTGCGCCCAGGGTCAGGCGGACCTGACCCTCTGCGAGGGATTCAACGAGGCGCTGCGGCAGTGCAAGCAGAGCCACCATCTCCAGTAGACGGGGAATACCACCAGCTCCGGCAGAATAGCACCTGGTCAAATCCCGGATGAACACAGCCCGGATGAACACCTCCGGATGAATTCTGTCCTACCCCTTCGTTTAGTTCTTAATTGTTTAATTGCAAGCATCTGAAAGCAAGGCATTGTTTAATTGTAGTGCAAATTGAAATGTTAAATAGAAAATCCCGTTGGCAGCTCAAAGCCCTTTCCAAAAAAAACAAAACATCAAGCTAACCAAACCCCACGGGCTGTCAATGTGGGCCAAAACAAAACGAAAGTTCCAAGAGTTTTCATTGTTAAAAATATATATTTATAAGTGTACACCCACAGTTATTTTATTAGTTAGTTTAAGCATGTTTAAATTAGCATGTAGCTTTCTAGAAGCTTCTCAAAGCTCCTATCAAAAAACCAATTTGAAAGCCACGTGAAATTTTCCCTTTTCACCCTTCTGGAAAATGTGAAATTTGCATTCTATTGTGAAATGTGGCTTGCATGCGGTTGCCAAAAATAATTTTGGTGACATTGCAGTTCTATAAATAGCAAAATCGATTCATTTCCTTATATATTTTCTAAGTATGTACCCTTTTTGCGCTTTCATCATCACGTGTCTTTCATTTCTGCTTTTCTAGTGTTTCGATTGCAATTTGTTTCTGTGTTGTTGAAATTAGCTGGTAAACAAATGGCAAATATGATAAACATGTTTACCTACTCGCTGTTTCGTTATAAATTAAGGGCTATGCTATATATTAAACGTGGCTATAGACGTATTCACGGGTTATCAAGCGATTAGTCATATTCTTTTGATCCTATGCAATATGGCAAGAAGGTATGTAATTTTGAAGAGATATGGGCATTATCTAAAATGTTTCCCAATTTCCCACCGAACCAGATATTTTGAACTCCCTGCTTTCGAGACATTCCATTGTTTCCGTTTTTATTCAAGAATTTCTTACATAGTGTCACCACCGTCCACAATTTTGCAGCGTATTAAGTTATGGGATTAACATGTTTCTTTTTTTTGTAATGGGCAATACGTATGTATGTAACAACTACAAATTTTTTTTAGCAACACTAATGTCTCAATTTAAACGGCATTGAAACGGCTGTCTCCTATAATCGAAAAAACTGTCTATATATATATAAAAAAAACAAAGAGCTATAAATAACTATCAATATGCCAAATGGGTGAAAGTGATAGTTTTCGAAGCAGCTGTACCCTCAGATTTTTGGAATTTTCGATTCTGATCGTTTTTGAATTGCGATTTTGGCGATAGTATAGTTTTGATTGGAGTTTTCCGATTTGAAAAAGTCTCCGGGGAGGAGCATCGATCCACCAGGTGTGTGTGTGTGTGTGTATATATGTATATAACGTGTATATTTGTAGTGTTCACTGCTCAATTTGGAATTCCGCTTCGAATGTGGATTTGCCTTTGGTTTGTCCGGGTTCGCTTGTGGGCAACAACGGATGATGAATGGGGGTCCCTATCTCCAGAGCCCATCTTCGGGCCTTGTGGCCTCCGGGCCAAGTCTGTCGTGGGACCTTTGCTTGTGCAGCACGCTGGGCACCTGGACCTTTGGACTGACCACCGGCGGCTTGGGTGGCTTGACCTTCTTGGAGGATACCGGTTGTGCGATCACCGTCGTGGAGGAGCTGCGCTTGGCCAGGAAGTAACCAGCCGTCATGTCCTTGGTGTTGCTCTTCTTGCCGGGATATGATCGCCGTCTGTAGAAAGTGGAGGCCTCGTACTTATGGTTTCCGGCCACATGCGCCTGCTTCCAGCTGGCGGCCACCTCCTTCTCCTTGATGCGCGGCTCGTCGAGATCCTTGAAGGGATCTGCCGCCTTGCTAATGTCCAGCTTGCTGGTCACATGCGGCAGCTTCTGGCTCGCCATTCTGTGGTAGTCGCTGACCGATGATTGGGACTTCGGTTCGGATGTGGGCTTCGTTTGGGCCTTGACAATGGCCTCCAGGGATGAGGCAATCCTCAGCAGGCGCCGCTGGTGGGGCTGCTCCTTGGGACGCACACCCACCAAATCGCACCTTTTGGCGGCCACTTTCCGTCCATTGTGGTCCCAAGTGACGGCATTCTGACGGATCACAGTGAGTAGCGATGGCTTGACCACCACCTCCACGGGACGGGGTCGCTTAGCGCCGTCCCTACGATGCAGCGTGGTCACCGGCTGACCGGTGACTCGGGGCGACTCCCTCACCTCCAGATCGACCGCATGGATGAGGGAATTGGGCCTCACGGGCTGCAGATGGATGAACTGCTCCCGGCGCAGCGACACATAGCATTTGCCCTGCTCGAGGAGCTGTCGGGTGGGCGCATTGGGCTGGTAGCCAATCCGAAATGAGTCCTCTGGCTCAGGCACAACCAGCAGATCGGCCAGATGCTGTTGGAGCAATGCCCGCTCTGGAGCTCTCTTGGACATCTTCTGGCCCCCACCGGTGGGGCGGTGATGGGTATCCTGATCCTCTGTCCCCTCGGCTTCGTCTGCTTCCGCTGTCTCCCTGGGTCTGTAGACCAGCTCCTGGGTGATCCGCCTATGGTGCTTGTTTCGCGCCTCCTGTGCCATCATTACCGCCGACTTGGCCGCCCGGATGCTGGGCATTCGTCCCGACTTGCTGATGGTCACCTCGGTGCGCTGCCACGGGGATCTCTTCTTTTGCTCCCACACCATCTGGATGGATATGGGATTACTTTAGAAATCGTTGCTATACCTTCCTGGAATCGGAGTCCGATTGCGAGATGGCCTACACTGAAATCTCTCGATTGGAAATACCTATTGCGAATATACCTATTTTTTGCGAAGTGTATGAACTGGTACCTGGCAACTCTCCTGGTCGTCCGTCATGCTCCTGGCGCTGCTCTTGCTGCTGGCGTGACGCAGGTGCTCCTGCTCGGCTGGTTCGCCCTGGAAGACGGGCACTGGCTGATGATTTGACGATCTCCGCCAGCCCTCGAGCTCGGAAACGATGCGACTCCTCTGGGCGCTGGAACGACGGCTGCGCTGTCTTCTATGATGCCCGCTGATCCAGGTGTGTGTCGTCATCCGTACGGATGGCTGTGTCTTCATCTGCTGCTCGAGATCCAGCAGCCGGCGCTCCCTGTCGGTGTCGTTGGTGGTTTGCCACTTGGTGGCCAGTTCGGGGGTCATCAGTTCGCTGGGAACGTAGGGCTGTCGATGTCGCTTATTCTCCCCCTCCCCCTCTTCCGCCCTTTCCCGCTCGTTGAAGTCCTGCTCCCGCCCCTCCGGCAGATAAAACTCGGAGCACTCACTGCGAAGACGACTGCCATCTCTTCGTCGCTGGAGCTGTTGCTCCTCTTCCTCGCTCTGCTCTTTGGTTATCCTCAGCTGGGGGACGGCCAGGCGCTCCACCTCCTCCTCCTCCTCGACGGGCCGCAGGCGTGGGACATAGAAACGCTTGCTGAGCACACCGGTCCACAGATTGGACGAGGGCAGGAGCAGCGGTCGCATCGAGGACTGCCGCCAAATGGGCCACTCTCGCCCCTGCAGCGTTTTGGGCGCATATCGCGTCTTCACCGGCAGGGTGCAGCTCGAGCTCGAATTCTGACCCTTCTTCGCCAGGCAGCGACTTAGGAAGCTGACGCTCAATCCACGTCGCTCCATCTGGCCGGATAGTTTGCGGGCGTAGCGGGTGCCGTAGCTCACATATGGCCGCCACAGGTGACGGGTGCCCGTGTTCGGTCGATCGATCAGCGACGTCAGGTGCGGCGTCCACTGGAACTTCGCCTGACCGGCCACCATCTGCGCCACCAGCTTGCACACCGCACTGCTGTTTCCCAGGTGATCACCTCGGGCAGCCTTAAGCGCCGAAACCAAGCCGCACACTTAAAACGATGCGGCATCATTAGTTTCTCTTTACTGGGTTGCGAACTGGCCACATCCTGTCCAGCTGCACTCACTCACCCTTAAGAGGCCGCAGTTGGCATTCCGTCTGAGCCACTATGCTCTTCATGTTCCGGGCAAATCCTTTTGTGTGGTTTTGAGTGTAAAAAAAAAACCTTAAAACAAAATAAAAAAAAAACGGAAACACAAATATTTTGGATAAATGGATGCTATCGCCTCGGAGCTGTTTAGTTGACTGGCCTTTGGGTGACAAGGCCTGTCATTTTGGAGTTCAGGGCCCACTCAGTACTATGGATACTACACACACAGAAGGCAACCGGATCGGGGATCAAAAACATATGTATTATAAAACTCTCAAAATTACATTATAAATTAGGGCTAGCAGTATACGTTCTTACTTTCTAACTTCTCGCTCTTTTTGGCGTTCGCCACAGCGTTGCACTTAAGATTACTTGATTTTGAGCTTAGAATGAATGCGTTTTAAAATTTAGCTTTGTCTATTTTTACAATGGCAATATTGCGCTCGACCACATATAAAATATCTACAATTAACATACATGTATATAACTAATGGCTAATGAAGTGACTACTTTTAGTTGGGCCGCTTGCGCTTGGGCTTATTTTCCGCGTCATGTTTTTGCTTGGGGGCCACCTTGCCCTTCCTCGTCTTATGTGACCTGTTGAGGTCGCGCAGGGTATGGCGATCTTCCTGACGCTGGCGGCACCTGTTCAGCACAGCCTCCGCCTTGCTCATAATCTCGTTGAAGTCCAGTTGTTGCTCCTCCGCTTGTGACGGCTGCTGCTCCTGCTCCTCCTGCTCCTGGGCATCCTCCTCGGCGGCAGCGGCCTCGTAAGTCTGAGGCTCGCGGAACTCATAGAACCATGCGCCCAGGAAGCGGCTCTTCAGCGTTTTCGTTTTGTACACAACTCCTAGCGGCAGATTCCTCTCCTGCCCCAGTATGTATAGCATTCGCTCGCCAGCGAGGTATTCCACAAAGTTCAAGTAGCCATCCGCGTTGGACTGCAGAATTTGAATGGCCTGAAGGGCGATCTGTTCCACGCAGTCTTCCTGCTGACTTAGCTGCGCATAGTCCAATACCCACTGGCACTGGGCCTCGGCCAGGGATGAAGTCCCCGGCAGTTCCGACATCTTGGGCAGCTTACAGCGCTCCAGAAGCTGGACAATGCGCTGGCGTCGCTCGGGCAGGTGCCAACCGGGCTCAAAGTGCTCCAAGCGTTTGGTGGGCACTGATGATTCGATGGGCAGTGGCTGCACAAAGACACGCAGCTCGTCGGGAAACTGGGGGCAGTCGCTCAAATCCTCGCCGGCCACCAATTGCAGGCGCTGCACTGCCTCGTTAAAAAGGTCCGCACAAAACTGTGGATTCAACCGAATGCCCCTTCTGATGGCCGCATCCTGCTCCGCGGCGTGTTTTAGGCGGCGAAAGAGTTCCGAACCCAGGTTGCCGAGCACGAACTCGCGGGTCTCCACTTGTTGAAGGTGTTCAAAAGGTTTCCTTTCTGTGGCTTTGGCCAAATACTTTACAGCCGCCTCCAATGCATGCATCAAGCGCTGGCTGGTGTTTCCAGAGTGCCTCACACGGAAGACGTTAAATGAGCGCAGACACAGATCCTGGAGAGGAATATCGAGGTCCACAAAGGCTGTATTTGCTGGATGCTGCACAATTACAGCCACGTCAAGACAACGGCTTGCTTGGAGCAATGGTCTCAAGCGCTGCTTTAGAGAGCGGAAGTCCTCCAGCCCAATCAGGCAAATAATACCATTGGCTTGGGCCAGGTCGGTGGCTTTCCAGTCGTGGTGATTGTCTCGGATCTTCAGCACACTCAAGCCAATGCCCTGAGAGAATCCTCTGATGTATCCTCCTTCCGCCAAACGGGCATCCGGCGACTGTGGCTGCTGCAGTAGTCCCTTATCCAAATCGTAGTTCAACTGGATACCCTCTTGCCCGCCGGACAGGCTTAGCAATAGCTTGTAGAAGCGCCGAGCTCCTGGTTGCGCCAGCGGTAGACACTTGTCCAAAACGCGCCACAGATCCAGCTTCAGCCAACTCTGCTCCTCCAGGCCAGCCAGAAGTTTGCCATAATCGCAGGGCTCGCCAAGTCTATAGCGTCTGATCAGACGCAGTGAATCCTCCACGGTGCGTTCGTTGACCAATCGATCGGTATCATCGGCCCTAAAGCTCAAAGGCAGTTGGTTAAATAGCGTGTCCTTCTGCTGCTGCACTCGCCGATAGTTTCTCCATCGCTTTATGTACACCCGCATGATGCCCAGTTCGTAGAGGGATTGCTGCATCTGCTGCTCGACGAGACCACGTGTTAGCGAGTCCAGCACGGATTCGTAGGAACAGCAAGCCTGGTCATGCAACTTAAACTCTCGGCTGCAAACCTCTGCGAGGATGTCCTGGAATGTGTCCTGGTAGCACTCCAAAGTTTTGGTCTTCTTGCGGGCCTCTCTTTCCTGCTGCTGCAAAAGACGCAGCTCTTCCAGTTTTAGTTGCCGCTCTTTTTCCAGCTGAAGTTTCTCCTGCTCCTGCTGGCGTTGCGCCTCCAACTCCTCCTGCTGACGACGCTGCTGCTCCTGGCGTTCCCTCAGCTTCTGCTGACGTATTCGCTCGGCTTCGGCTACTTTGGCCTCGTGAATGGCCATGAGCTCAGCTTCTCGCTTCTTTGCAGCGGCAATGGCTATTTGGAGTGCCTGATGCTTGGCCTCTTCTTGTGCCCGGCGCTGCTGCTCAGCCACAGCCTGCTCCTGGAGCTCCTGGGCACGTGATTTGGGTAGGACAAAACTGAATGCTTCGATGGTGGAGGCTGGCGCAACAGCAGCCGTGGCAGGAGCTCCAAACCCTGTTGCCGTTCCGTCGGGTTGCATCGGCACCTTAAAGAAATTGTCGCTCTGTTTTGACGCTGCTGGTGGATGCGAAGGTATTTGTGGCTGCACATCCTCTTGCTGCATGCCAGGCAGCTGATCCTTGGCCGTCCATGCAATGCTCTTAAGCATTCCATGCTCGTTGAAGCTATTGTGCGGCCGGTGGTTGAGGTAGAGGGCTCGTGGTGGCAAAGGTTCCCCACTAACAACTTCGCCCACGCTCTGCACGCGTTTCATTTCCACCAGCTGAAAGTGGATACAGAAAACCACATTAACAACACGGTTGGTGTGCAAAAAATAAGAAAATAAACATTCCACTTACCTCATACTGTCGCGGCAGCTTGTACTCCGTCTCCACCGTGTGCATTCTGCTCAGCACAACTCTGCCCGTCTCGTTTAGCTCCAGGCCATAGTGTTGGACAAAATCGACTGCTTCCTGTTCGCTGGCAAAGCTCAGCAGGTCGGCGATGTAGCTGAGAGGCAGCGAAGACACCTCATCCTTCCGCGGAGCCCTGTACGCCTGGATCAAGCGATGCAATCCCAGCACGCGCAGTCGCGTGAAGTATGTGACTAGGATGCAGGCACTTAGGTAGCTGGTGTCCTCGTCCATCAGCAGCTGAAAGAACCGCACAAAGTTCGTGTCGTGCAGGGCCAAGTAGAACTGAATGGCCTGACGCACTTCGGGGCAATTCTGCAGTTCAGCGGGCAGCTGGCCGATGTCCCAGAGAAAGTTGGCGTCGGCAAGATTCAGCAATACTATGTAGCCTCGGAATTCCGCCTCTCTGGGACACTGGACGCCCTTTAACCGCAGGTCGTGGTACATGTACTTCAGGGTCTGCAGGCATTTGGTTAGATTCTCTGCGTTGATCTTGCTGTCAAAGACGCTGGGATCGGCGGCAACCAGACGTGCGGCGCAATGGATGTGAAACCGGGCGCACTGCTCCACCAGCTTGACGGCGCCCAGCGAGCACAGCTCCTGCTGGGTGATCTCCTTTCGGATGGACCTCGTGCGATCCCAGACGAAGTGAAACCAATCACCCAGATAGCTTTGCGGTTCCTGGCGCTCGCTAATGTCCATAATCTCATGCATAAGATAGCTCATGGTCATGTGCAGGGCCGTCTCATTGCGCAGTTCATGCGGCAGTGGCGTCTCCTGGTCGGCACTGCTGCGTGAGTACTGTTTCAGCGCTCTTTCGTGGCAGATCAGCTCATCGGAGCCCGGCTGCAGTTCATAGACGGCTACCTGGCGCTGGAACTCTCTCAGCACGCGCTCCTTCTCTGGACACATGTCGGGGCAGTGACCCTGGGTGGCACCGGCCACCGGCTTCTGTTGCGTTCGGTTCATGCGGAGCAGCTTATCACGGGCATCCAGCACGCGGAACTTCTCCTCGCTTGTGTGGGCGGGTCTGCGCATCACGTTCTCCAGATCCCTGAGCTGGGCAGGCGTACGATCCCTGGTGGCGGGAGGATTCTTAACGCTAACCGCCGCTGTTGCAGCCGCAGCTGGTAGGGAAGGCAGCATTGGAGCTCCACTCAGTGATGGCTTTAGGGGCTTGCCCGAGGCATACTCATTACGCCAGCCCGATTGCAGTGCACTCAACTCCGCCTGCACATCGGGATCCACCCACTCCTCCGTTTTCTGTGCCGGCGCCGTCTCGTTCTCAGCATAGGATATATCAAACTGATGGCCCTGGAAGCTGTCGCCCTCGAGGAGCGCCCGCTCCGCCTGCTCCTCGCTGGCATAGCTCACGGTGCAGGTCATCCGCCGCGGACGCAGGACGAAGTTCACGAGGGTCCCAAAGCGGCCGAAGTGCGAGCGCGCCACATATTTGTCCAGGAAAAGCTCCGGGATGTTCGTGCATCTGGGAATGTGGTTTGTGTCTGGAGGTCAAGTGCCGTTGGTTCAACTATACTCACAATAATGTCTTGTAGTTGTAGGCGCCGGGACGGGGTTCTGCCATCGATCGAATATATTTTAGATTTCTAATTTTCTTTTTCTTTTTTTTCCTTCTTAAGAGAGCGCGAATGTGTGTGTTGTTGTGACCATTGCCGCTCAACAACTCCGCAGATGCGAGTATGCCGCGCATATCGATAGTTGTGTACTCGCTGGTGTCGAGCATGGCGCGAAAAGAAAATATTCGCGGGAAGTGCACAAAAGTATCATTTATGGATAAAAAATGTTAAGTTTTCAAGCTCGAGAAGAACACATGCATGCCTTACAAAAAATGTCAATAATATTGGAAAATATTTTTGTTTCGTTAGACAATTCGAAAATTAGAATGCAATCGAGCAACTTCTTGTGAGTTATAATATGCTCTGATATATTTCCAACTGTGTATTTTAGTAATTGAAGGTGATTGGTTTACCTAGACTCAATGACTCAATAGGCTAAGCTAACTTATATAAAACAAAACAAAATTAAATTCAAATAAATAAGTCAGGGCATTTACGTTCCAGCCCTGGTTAAAAAAAAAGCCGGGAGCCGCAGTGTGACCGCCCAGAAAACTATCGGCAAATACCGCAGACGCCAAGTTGCTGCCCCGATAGTATCGACTTCCGTTCCATCCCCAGAATTTTTGTCATTTGTTGTTGCTCGCCAGGGCGAATTCGAATTCGAAGCGCAGTAATCAAAGCGCTGCTCGTGGATTTTTTTGCATTTTTTTTTGAGTTCAAATAGTTCGTTAATAAGAGTGGCGGTCAACGAAACTATTCCATTTGCAATCGAAATAAATAGTTGAAAGTGAAAAACAAGCGAGAAGCGACGCCAACGGGCGAAAAAGGAGATAACCGAAAACGAAAAACACGACAAAAGCAACGTTGAAAGAGAGTAACATAAAAAAAAACGATGATCGAACCGTAAATTTAAAACCATGCAATAAACAGTGCATAATATATAATAATTTGACCAAAACAAATGCCAAGTTTGAGAGCGAGAGCGAAGAACGTTAAAAAAAGAAGTAAATAAATGATCTTGGCCCGTTGTTTGTTGTTCTGGTTATTATGGTTGGCGTTGTTGTAACTCGTTTTTTTTAATGCGCGCGTGTATGAATCACACCAACACAAACAAACAAACAATAACAACAATGCGATACGGTGAAATATGCTAAGTAAATAGCAAAAGAGAGTTCCAGTTTCCAGAGAGCGCGAAAGAGAGCGACAGAGCGCGCGAGAGAGACTACAAGTACATACTGGAAAGCGATCCCGATCCTTTTTCCAGGCACGCAGCCATCTCGCTTGCACCCATGCCGCCCTAGACCGATTCTTGTTGCAGCTGCCTAACAACCAACAACTACAGTGCAACAACAAGCGCACTGTGCACGGGAAAGGAGCAAAAAGGAAGGCGATAGCTGGAAAGCGACGACGATGATGATGATGCGGTCGCAACAACAACAACACCACCACCACCACCACCACCAAGAACAACAACAACAAGCTGCTGCAGGCAGACGAGCATAGCGTTAAAAAAAGTAGCTGCATACAAAATAGTAATAGGAAAAAATCCGAAAAATTCGAGAGGAGAAAAATAAATTAAAGAAACGATCGCCCAATTTAATCAAGTGCATATATGTGCGTGCAAAATAGAAAGTGCATTGCAGCAATCAAAAGTACACACACATTATCGCAGCTCGAGGACGATAATAGTTATTGTTAACACGAAAAGTACGAAATGAAGGTCACCGTCTGCTTCGGCGACGTTCGCATTCTGGTTCCCTGCGGTTCCGGCGAACTCCTCGTCCGCGATCTCGTCAAGGAGGCCACGCGACGCTACATCAAGGCAGCCGGCAAGGTAAGCGGATATATCTGATATGGTGCCATATGTATTACCCACCGATACTTATTTTTGTGTGTAACAATCTGGGGTTAGGAAAGGTATTATATATAACATATAATAATATTTCAGCTAACAGTGTTAGGAATCCAACAAATGCTTTACTTATAAGAAATACGATATCACATACTTCATACGTACATTCCAAATTGCAGGGGCCAATATTATTTAGGTCATACTAAATGCAATACGAATAGTGTATTAAATTAATAATATAGATATAGATAACCATTATCTCTCCCAGTTCGGCAAAAACTTTTCTTTCGAAAGTATGCATACTAATAGATAAAGCAAAGTATTCCGCAATTCTCAATATATATGACTATAGCCAAAAAATATATTTATATTTATTATGTGATAAAGAATACAAATAAATAAAATTATATATTTTTATGTACATACATATGTTGGTTACCAACCCACCTCACAAAAAGTGCTGCCAAAACAGATTCTTTATGGCATTTATTTTGTCATGATTGTGTTAAAATACTACGTTTTTTATTTATTTTAACGTTAACTTATTTCTTCTCTGTGACAGCCAGTTAAAATGTTGATTTAAAGTTATTATCTGGGTCAGAAAGATAATTAAAAAGAAAATGTCGCTAATGAATGTTATTATAAAAGTATATTTTGTTGGCTATTATCTTGTAATTATACAATTTTGTAATTTTGTTTGTCAGCATGCACTTTTAACTGGTTAAGTCTAAAGAGTTTAGTTTATTAAACATATTTGAACAGATTTTTTATCAGATTTCTATCAATTGCTATCTTTGTAAGTCATGCCGCGACCGGTAATTGTATCTTTTGACTGCTTTTCTCAAGTGATTCCCAAAAAATACCCTCCGTCATTTCTCCCGCAGTTCCGTAAACAATTTTCTCAAGAGCGGAAACGCTGCACTTGAGTGTGATGTAATTAAACAAAAAAAGAACCCAAAAAACTAGAATTAAACCGAACAAGAAAAGGTTCTTCAGCGGCGCTTATCTGGGGTAAAGAAATACACACATGTAGTATATGGCAAAGATCGGGCCAAAAAGAAACAGGGCCTAGGTAAAATATTTGAATAATGATAAGCCCCTGACGAAGCCATAAAAACAAACTAAAAACCGAAAAAGTGAGTGTCAGACTGAATAAAAGACAGGGAGAAGAACACATCACAAGATGATAACAACAAGCAACAAATCGGAGAAGAAAGAGTAGAACTCAAACAAGCAACAGAACAGAAGACCCGAATTATAATAAAAGTCAGTCCGGAATCATAAGAACATTTTTATTTCATTTTGAACTCGTTTGAACCCGATTCCGATCGAGTCAACCAGGTAACCCCAAAAAGAAGAGGGGAAAAAGGGTCAAGAAATGCACTTTACAGGGCGAGAAATCCCAAGGAGGGAGACCCCTTAATTAATCAGAAATAACATCTGAAATTCGTTGGGGTCCTCTATAATTAATCAAAAGTTCGAGGGAAGGGTTCGTCCGATTCCACCTGAATTTTCCAGGGAAAATTCTGATTCGAAATCAATTTCGGTGTGCGGGGGATCCCTTTTTTTTTATGTATTTCTTGTTCTTTATTTTCCTTTATTTTGATAATGATTATGAGTTGTGTTTTTCTTTGCTTGCCGAAACGATTAAGTCATAATTTAGATGGGAAGCGCCCTGGGAATCTTGAACTTCCTATAAGAATATATTATAGAGCCATGAACGAGCGAATATGAGATTCTTACAGGAAGTTTGTAAATTAAACCAGGGTTCTATTGGAAAATACAGTCTATTCTGATTTCCAAAAGAGTAAAGCGTTGTTTAATAGAGTTGAATTCATTCTTCCAGTAGAAAGTGTAAGGCAATGGAAAGTACTAGTCTTAAAGGCCATAATTTCTTTATTGCAGCTTAGAGCAAAAGCTACACTAATTAGGCGTTTTTCCAAACCACAAATAGTCCGAAACCAAAGTCTTCTGCATTGCATTTCCGGCGAGCATTTGGAGGGGGTCTGGAAATGGCGATGGGGACCTGTGTGGAGCTCCGATCTGTTGCAACGTGTGTGAATTTTTGTTTGCTTTCAATGTCTGGCCAAAAGGCGAAACTGTGTCAGCTGCAATTAAGTGCAAGAGCCAAAAGAGGGAAAAGAAAGGGGGAAATAAACAGATCGGAGGGGCAGTGGTGGTGCTACCAACAGATAAGACGCTTTCCATTTCGCGATCACGTGCGCCGTCCAATTGCAGACCAAAAATCCAACCTGCTAATTATGCAATTGCATGCAAATGCAATATATGTTTACTATACCAACTTTTAAAGGAACAACCCCTTGAATAGATCTCAAAAATATCTAAGGAGAATCCAAAGATAGTGTACCACAATCACCATATTAGGTATATGAAAATTTTAAATTGAAAGTAGAGTACTGATGAATACTATTCTTTTACCCTCGACTGTTCACTCATTTTGTTTTTTTGCAAGATCAACGAAATCGAATGACTTGCAGCTAGCTGCACTTCAAATTCTTCGGCACATGAGAACTATTGTATTTTTTATACATACATATATTTCTGCTATTCCGAATCCGTATTTTTTTGCAGCTGTGCGATCGCAGTCTTTTGTTTCTAGTGCTCTGTTTTGTTTTTCGCTTTTCGTTTCATTATCTTTTGCTGCCAACATGTGCAAAGTTAACATTGTGTGTGTGGTGTGAATTGGAATAAGAGGGGTATAAGAACTACAAAATGATAAAAAAAAAGAGCATAGAGTGATACCAACTGACCTATTGTAAAGGAAGATATAAAACATTAATATTTTTGGCATATGCGGTTCCAAATGTGAGATAATTGGGATCTTGACAATACTGTTCCATTGTAACTTCGAATTTAATGGAAGAACATTGGTGAAAATTGGTATATGAAGTACTTAAAATTTGAAGAAGATAATTATGAACAAAAAATATAATCCTAACCATACTGTTCCATAGTAAATCGAAATCCATTAGAAGAATTTACCAGTAACTTCGTATGTAAATAATTAAAATGGAGTAAACACTGTAAGTCACGACTAAAAATTAGAATTATAACGAATACTATAGCTAATTTAGCTAACTTTCGAAATATCAAAACTAAAAGGGTGTACTCGTTGATAAATCATTCGTTACATTGCTAGTAATGAACTTGAAACTGACATTTTAGGAGTCAGCTATAATTCTACGAATTTGATCCGAATCGCAACCTACAAAATTCGCATAATGATTAGTTTGCCATTTGGTTTAGGAGCAATATGATATTCCCGCTTGCGATTCCTTTGTTCGAGCTCGATTTTAGTGGGCGTTACGTGTTATCAAAGCTCAACTCGTTCGTCGTCTGTTTATTTTGTTTGCC